CATCTTTACAACATTTAGAGTTCCATCTTTACAACATTTCAAGTTTTTAAATTTCTTTTTGAAAAACACTTAATATTCATAAACTTTCTCAATTTTAACAAATTCTAAATTTAACAATTTTTCGAGTTAAGCAAACTCTCAATTTTATCACTCACTCTCTCAAGTTAAACAAACTCTCAATTTAACAATCTCTCAATCTCAAGTTAAACAAACTCTCAATTTTAGCAATCTCTTAAGTTAAACAAACTCTCAATTTTAGCAATCTCTCAAGTTAAACAAACTCTCAATTTTAGCAATCTCTTAAGTTAAACAAACTCTCAATTTTAGCAATCTCTCAAGGTAAACAAACTCTCACTTTTAACAATTTCTCAAGTTAAACAAACTCTCAATTTTAACAATTTGTCAAGTTAAACAAACTCTCAATTTTAGCAATCTCTTAAGTTAAACAAACTCTCAATTTTAGCAATCTCTTAAGTTAAACAAACTCTCAATTTTAGCAATCTCTCAAGTTAAACAAACTCTTGATTTTAACAATTTCTCAAGTTAAGCAAACTCTCAATTTTATCACTCACTCTCTCAAGTTAAACAAATTCTTGATTTTATCACTCACTCTCTCAAGTTAAACAAACTCTCAATTTTAACATATCACTCACTCTCTCAAGTTAAACAAATTCTTGATTTTATCACTCACTCTCTCAAGTTAAACAAACTCTCAATTTTAACAATTTGTCAAGTTAAACAAACTCTCAATTTTAGCAATCTCTCAAGTTAAACAAACTCTCAATTTTAACAATTTCTCAAGTTAAGCAAACTCTCAATTTTATCACTCACTGTCTCAAGTTAAACAAACTCTTGATTTTAACAATTTGTCAAGTTACACAAACTATCAATTTTAATAATCTATCAAGTAAACCAAACTATCAATTTTGAAAATTTGTCTAGTTCAATTATACCAATCTCTAAAGTTAGGCAAACTTTCAATTTTAACAATCTCTCAAGTTAAGGAAATTCTCAATTTTAACAAACTTTTAATCTTAACAATCTCTGAATTTTAACTCTTAAGTTTTTTGGATGTCCGATCATAACTCATAACCCCCTGACCAATTTTGCCTCAATTTTTGATTGGGGAACTTGGCAGAACCAAGTTCTTGTTAAGCCTGGTTGTTTTAATATTCCAAGACTTTCAAAGGGAATTCTCCAGTCAAAGCTGGGTTCCCAAACCAGTAAATCATAAAAATGTTACTAAATTTTACGGATTTAAATCAATTCTATTTAAATGAATATTGTTACGTAAATTTATAGCTTTATAAGTTGCGTGGCATGAAATCATAAAATTTGAAGATTTGTGTCAGGAATATTCCGCGGCAATCAATTTTCTTGTATCAGTACACATCTCTGGCAACCCATCATAATAATTCATAATTTCATTATATGCTAAACAATATAATCCAAATCGGAGCCATCTTAGAAATAGGAACATAAAAACTAAAGGGGAAGTAAATCTTTGACAAAAAACATATCTTTCATATAAAATATAGAGCGTTAAAATATAAATGTTATGTGTCGCGTGGCAAGCGAGCATTGGGCTATTTTTAAGATACCACCACGGGCAGCCCCCGGCATTTCATGGCTTGCATAGTTCACTGGTCAACCTAGCTTACTTATCAACTAGTGAACTAGTGAACTACTTTACGAGTCAACTAGTTTACTTATCAACTTGAGAACTAGTAAACTATTGAACTAGTGATTACTAGTCAACTAGTTTACTTATTAACAAGAGCACTAGTGAACTATTTCAATAGTCAACTAGTATACTTATCAACTAGTGAACTAGTGAAATATTGAACTAGTGAACTAACTAGTCAACTATTTTACTTATCAACTAGTGAAATAGTGAACTAGTTTACGAGTCAACTAGTCAACTAGTTCACTAGTCTACTAGTTTACTAGTTTGTAATTTGAATATGATGTTAAAGGCGCATATCAGTTAATTAGATATGTACTGGATAAATTACAAGCATATTTTCATACATGTGATTTAAAGATTCTACTGATACATAAAAACTCATTTTGTCACTGTAATAAGTGCATTGTGCATACAAGTGCAAAATGCATATATTACAACCTATAAAAAACCCTGGTGAAAAAGATATCTCTGAAATCAGAAGCTAGAACTTTGGTATTGTGAATCTCGGGATGAAGTCTACCTACAGAATCTCGGGGTCAAGTCTAACTACGGAATTTTGGGATCAAGTCTGCTTACGGAATCTCGGGATCAAGTCTACTAACGGAATCTCGGGATCAAGTCTACCTACGGAATCTCGGGATTAAGTCTTCCTACGGAATCTCGGGATCAAGTCTACCTACGGAATCTCGGGGTCAAGTCTACCTACGGAATCTCGGGATCAAGTCTACTTACGGAATCTCTGGATCAAGTCTACCTACTAAATCTCGGGATCAAGTCTACATACGGAATTTCGGGATCAAGTCTACCTACTGAATCTCGGGATCAAGTCTACCTACGGAATCTCTGGATTAAGTCTACCTATGGAATCTCGGTATCAAGTCTACTAACGGAATCTCGGGATCAAGTCTACCTACGGAATCTCGGGATTAAGTCTACCTACGGAATTTCGGGATCAGGTCTAGCTACGGAATCTCGGGATCAAGGCTAACTACGGAATCTCGGGATCAAGTCTAACTAAGGAATCTCGGGATTAAGTCTATCTACGGAATCTCGGGATCAAGTCTAACTACGGAATCTTGGGATCAAGTCTACCTACGGAATCTCGGGATTAAGTCTACCTACGGAATCTCGGGATCAAGTCTAACTACGGAATCTTGGGATCAAGTCTTCCTACTAAATCTCGGGATCAAGTCTACCTACGGAATCTTGGGATTAAGTCTACCTACGAAATCTTGGGATCAAGTCTACTTACGGAATCTCGGGATCAAGTCTACCTATGGAATCTAGGGATCAAGTCTAGCTAAGGAATCTTGGGATCAAGTCTAACTACGGAATATCGGGATTAACTCTACCTACGGAATCTCGGGATCAAGTCTAACTACGGAATCTTGGGATCAAGTCTAACTACGGAATCTCGGGATTAAGTCTACCTACGGAATCTCGGGATCAAGTCTACCTATGGAATCTCGGGATCAAGTCTACCTACAGAATAATTGTATTTTCTCTTTGATATCCTGTAGCTAGTTGTATATAAGAAAACTTTAATTAAGACAGATTGATACTCATATTTAAAAGTGCCCACAAATTAAATATCGAGATCTAGCGTACAAGACTTACAATTACCTAAAACTAACTGAAATACATCCTGTCTGTACCGACAGTCATATTTGCTCTTGTATTCAAAATTGGTCAGACTTGTATTCGCGCTTTAGTGTTTAGAATATGCAAATATAGCAAATACGACACATTTTTATTTAACGGGTGATAATGGGTGATGTTAGGTACTTTCCAAAAGGATTTTTCCCAAGTGATAAATTCCCAAGGGTTTTTTTCCAAAGTGTCAACTTCCTAAATGTGCAATTTCCCAAACGGAAACATCCCAAGTCTGTCCTAGTCGCAGCGTTCGGCCCCAATCCTTTTTGAGAAGATATTAAATCACAACATCAGATTCTATAAAGTACTAAACAATGTGAAACTGAAAAGATTAGAACGACTGAAAAGTGGAGATGAGCTCAAGCCCGTGCGCGAAATATTCTAAGTTTCTAGTTCTCAAAAACATTTTATTGCGGGGCCCATACTTAATCTAAATATCTTTATATAGAAAGTAATAATCTTTGTTTGTTTGTCTGTCTGTCTGTTTGATAGGATTTCCGATCAAAACTCATGAACCCCCGGACCGATTGGCCTCGAATTTTGATTGGGAGACGTGGCAGAACCACAGGAATGTTCTTAGCTTAGTTTGAAAGTTCTATATTGAGTGGATTACCGTTTATCGGCATCATTTAGTTCCCAGAGAACTCGTTAAATCCCATGCCACCATTCATTTATTAAGCCCCCCCCCCCCCAGAAAAAAAATATAATTACTTCCTTGAATTTTAAGAGGGCATTCTGCAACGGGTTAAATTCTTGTAAAAAATCCTTGTTAACTACAGACAATAGAAATGTGATAATATTTTCATTTTCGTGCAGACCTGGCCAAACAATAACAATAGAAAGGTATTTCTTATACCTTAACCTTTCATAGGCGTTATATAGAACTAGATTCTTGCAAAGTTTTTATTTTTTACTATCTTAAGATCTTAAGAGGTCAATGGGCGAAATTTATCTATAGCTACCCTTCATTCCGATTCACAATAGTATCCTTCAAACCTTTGTTTAAAGATAAAAAAGATATCCTTGTTTTTTTTTATCTAAAATTAGTCCTGTATATATCAGGTTGGCCAAAACTAAAGAAGGTATCCTTGTTTTTTTTTATCTAAAAATTGCTTATTTTCCTTTTCCTGTAGCAGAGAAATATCTTTTCATGACATTCATTCAAGGTCCCTTGAAATTATGACGATGGTTCCTTCTTTAAAGGGAGTGTTCACGAAAAATGAAAGGGGGTACAGGCATACAGCAAAAAATAAGCGCTTTTGATCGGTACTAATCTTACTTCTATCTGTTGCGTTTATAAGGAGAAAATTGTAATGATTTGTTAGAAATTAAATAGATTTTTAAAGATCGAAGTCGTATATTGCAACTTTCTCAATTTGGGTGGATGCTATGTTATTTTCTCCTTATTGACGCAACAGATAGAAAAAGATTAGTAGCAATCAAAAGCTCTTATTTTGCGTCGCAAGCCTATACCTCCTTTCATTTTTCGCGAACACTCTCTTTAAGCTGGCAATGTAGTTCAAATAACCACATGAAAAATATCTCCAGCTCAGAAATTATTCAAAATAGAAATAATGAAATTATTTTTCATAATTCAGTTTTCAATGAAAGATAATTTATGACTCCTTTCAATATTATTATGCGATCAAATTACAACTAATGAATGAATTGAATATATTGTATAAATCATTATTTACATTTCTACAACAAGGACTTTAACGTATATTGGTAACTATATATAAATGGTAACTATTACTTATCAGTATCACATATAATTGTATTGCCCACATTCATCAAGAATGAATGAATAAATGAATGAATGAATGCAAAGATCAGTCGAATATTGTAAACACTATGGCACGACGTGTCTTTTTGACGACCTGGCGTCGATGACCACCTGGTCGAATTTCGAGGGTATGCCGGGGGGACGAACTATAAAGGTTCCCGAGGGCGGGATAGATGGGGGACCAATCGTCGGACGAGTTGGGCGTGTAGGTCTAGTTGGACGAGTAGGACCAGTAGGACGAGTAGGACGAGGCGTGGGTTTAGTATCCGGGCACTGGTTGCAATAGTAGTTTCGTTTACACTTCTTTTTGCAGACTTGAGAAGGTTTGGAGTCACATTCTTTCATGGGCTCATTCCGACACTGGGATCTGTACTTTACCCACTACAATATAAAATGATGATTATGATAATAATAATGATAATGACAATAATAATAACATTTCTATCGCCATGAATTTATTTTTTGAATGAGAAAATGATTATTTCTTATAATTGTCAAATATACCTTGCATTCTCTCACTCTATTCCAGCATTGTTTACTCACAGGTTCATTCGCAAAGTCAAAGATTTGTCCTGAAACAAATTCGTTCAAAAGGTAATTTATGTATAAGTAAAGGAATTGAGTCTTTGACACAAACTCAGATTTTCTAATCTCTTTATCTCCCAAACCCATAATGTCGTAGACCTTACTTATTTCAAACTATGAATAATGTTGGATCAAATAATATTAGTTTTAAATATCAAAGGTTTACATCATCTGGTTCCAAAGATATAGGGATTATAAAATTTTAGTTTGTGGCAAAGACTCCATTCCTTTTGCTCCCAAAAAAACATTCCAGATAACAAATATGAAAATTATGAAAATTTTGAAAATTCACCATCAAAAATTAAAAAAAAAATCGCGAACTTTTCGTATCCCTTTTTTATACACGAAGAAAAAGACATCAAAAACGTACAGCAACAAAAAAGGTTTTCGAATGTTAAAAACATATTTAGAAAAATAAAAATGTAAAGAAATCTAGAATCATGTTGACAGTTAAAAAAAAGATCTAAAAATCTTCAGTTATAACTGCAATCTTTTCTATAGGTATAAGCAACAAGGTCAAACTTATATGGAATTACTTTAAGACTTTGCGTCATTGTAACTCTTCTAATTCGATTTACACACAACTGCGAGAAAAGTGAACTTGTTTTTGTTACTCAAATCTGTATCATTAGCTCTTAAAAATAGGCTATGAAAGAAAATATACAATTGTTCCCACTAATAAAATGTTTTTTTTTTTTAGTTTAAAGTGTTTGTTTTAATCTGTTTTCTATTGTTTTGTTACTTTATGATCTGTTTTCTACTGTTTTGTTACTTTATGATCTGTTTTCTACTGTTTTGTTACTTTATGATCAGTTTTCTATTGTTTTGTTATTTTATGATCTATTTTCTACTGTTTTGTAACTTTATAATCTGTTTTCTACTGCTTTGTTACTTAATAATCTGTTTTCTACTGTTTTGTTACTTTATGATCTGGTTTCTACTGTTTTGATACTTTCTGATCAGTTTTCTACTGTTTGTTACTTTATGATCTGTTTTCTACTGTTTGTTACTTCATGATCTGTTTTCTACTGTTTGTTACTGTATGATCTGTTTTCAACTGTTTTGTTACTTTATGATCTGTTTTCTACTGCTTTGTTACTTTATGATCTGTTTTCTACTGTTTTGATACTTTATGATCTGTTTTCTACTGTTTGTTGTTTATGACCTGTTTTCTACTGTTTTGTTACGTTATGATCTGTTTTCTACTGTTTTGTTACTTTATGATCTGCTTTCTACTGTTTTGTTACTTTATGATCTGTCTTCTAAGGTTTTGTTACTTTATTATCTGTTTTCTACTGTTTTGTTACTTTATGATCTGTTTTCTACTGTTTTGTTACTTTATGATCTGTTTTCTACTGTTTTGTTACTTTATGATCTGTTTTCTACTGTTTTTTTACTTTATGATCTGTTTTCTACTGACCTAATCCATTGTCTGCAAACGGAATATCTGATTCTGGAATAGGATAACTTTGATCATAAACTATCTCTGTTGGGATTAAACGCTTCTGCCGGGACAATATTTTCGTTTCCTTAGACTCATTTAGATCTCCAGTTTCCCCCTTCAGACGACCTTCGATTGTTTTTTCTTCTACTTCTTCCTCTATTTCTTCTACTTCTTCTTTTTCTAAATCTTCTTTTTCTAATTCTTCTTCTTCATTGTCTCCAATTTTCACTTCCCTTTTCCCCCTGTTTCCATTGCATCTGTTCTGCCAAACGTTCTAAAAGCCGAGCAATTTTATCACATTTTTTACTTATATAAAGAAAACATTTTTGGTAAAAACAATGCTTTTATCATCGTATAAACAAATTGATATTTTGTCATTAAAATTAGCCCCCTTTCCTTACACTCTTGCCGTCGGAAGTCAGTACACTTATATTCGTATCTGAAATTAAAGATTTTAATATTTTATAATATTTTTTTCTTTCGACCCTTAATTTATAGAGTATCTTGTTTAATTCACAACAGTACCCTGTAAACTGTTATCTAAGTTACAATATGGAAGAAGTCGTTTTTTTTTGTATCGTGATACAGTCCTTTACTGAAGCATTTTTTATAATATATCAAATTGATGATAAATTTTTAACCTGGTTTTGCACTGTATTTTAGATTCGCACACATTTTCGCATTCATATTTTGAGATGCAACCATTTTGGCGGGATTCTGCATACTTTGTTATCTTTAAACCAATTTCAATATCTTATTTTATAATTCGTTTCCGGTTTGAAATAAAGGTGGTTTCCAGATGATTAAATAAAAGGAACTGAGTTTTTGTCACAAACTCAAATTGTCTAATCCCTATATCTTTACAATCTAATGATGTAAACCTTTGATATTTCAAACTTAGATTATTTGTTCTAACAGAATTCATAGTTTGAAATATCAAAGGTCTACGACATTGGGTTGCAAAGATATAGAGATTAGAAAAGTAGAGTTCGTGACAAAAACTCAGTTTCTTTAACATAAAAAGGCTGGAGGGGGGTGATGAATAAGGGATTTGGGGACTGGGAAGAGAGGGGGAGAATATGACCCATCCCCTCTAAGTAAAAGGGGGGGGAGCCCCCCCCCCCCCCGGGGACAGGAATCACAATGTGATAAGTTACAGTTTCCTTATATGTATTTACAATTATCTGAATTGTATTGAGTATGTCCAAATATGTATATTTACGCAAAGTGCAGTATTTACGCCTCAGGTGATCCTTGTTATTTATAAACATACAATTTGTATCTGAGACTAAACTAAACTTTTTAAGTTCATTTTACCCTAGGATCAGATTAAACAGACGACCCAAAACTCTGTAGGAATGACGATTGGAATATGCATGGTGGTGGGGGCCGGGTTGGGTTATATATATAAATTAAAATCGAGGTACTTTATCAATGAAACTGTTGGAAATGTATACCAGGAAATCTAAGGTAATATAAATAAAAACGCTGGCAATCTTTAATAAAAATGTAAGTTATAAATTAATAAATTTCATGTAATATGTCAATAAAATTGAGGCGATACATTATTAATAATGGAAGTTATATATCAATGAAAATGGAAAAATATATCTATGGAATGTGAGGTACTGTACTGATTAAAGTGGGGGTAATATACTCAATGAAACTAAGGTGATATATCAATAAAATGGAGGTAGTATTTTCAGGGGAAAAAAGGTATTATATATATATTTTTAAATGAAAATAGAGGTAATTTATTAATGAAATTAAGGTGATACTTTATTGAAAATGGAGGTAATACATCATTTAATATGAAGATAACAAATTATAAAAAATGACTGTAATGCATTATTAAAAATAAAGGTAATAAGCAGAAAAATATAAATGAATGCATTTATTGCTGCAGATACGAATGCTCAAATTATGGTAGCTAGAAAGTTATTTACTAGAAACCTAAATAAAAACGTTAAATGAGCGTCTTTTTTTTGCTATACAATTTATAATCATTCTAAACGGTTGCAGACCCAAACTTCAGGATTAAAGGAATTCAGCCTTTGCCACAAAGTTAAATTTTCTAATCACTATATCTTTGCAACCTATTGGTGTAAACCTTTTATGTTTTAAACTTAGATTACTTGATATAACAGAATTCATAGTTTGAAATATCTAAGGTCTACAACATTGGATTGCAAAGATATATGGACTAGAGTTTGTGGCGAAGACTCAATTCTTTTCTGTAGAATAATATTTCTGCATTTTTTCCAAACTTCTAAATCATTTTTAAGCCCCTCTGTTTCTTGTAACTGTATTTCTAGCAACAATTTATCTAGCAGCAATATTTCTAGCAGTAATATTTCTAGCAATAATATTTGCAGCGGATACATAAAACTAACCTTGTTAACGTGAAAAGGTGACATGTCCCTAGGTTTAGACTCTAGCTCTCCTTCTGCAGGTCATTTATCATTTTTTCACGAATCTAATTTATCTTGATTTAATCTTAATCATCAAAATGGCTCTGTAATTATTTATTTTGACATTTCAAATCAGTCTAAATAAATGTGTATCTATTATCTATATAATAAAGCTCTTGGCTCATTTATATATAAATTTGGCTTGTCTGTCTGTGTGTTTGTCTGTTTGTTTGTTTGTATCCAATAAACGTCAAAACGGCTGAACCGATCGGGCCCAAATTTTTTTTGGGACATCACATGACCGCAGGGAAGGTTTATGAATGATCAAAATTTTAAATATTTGTCTCCATCAAAATTCGATCTTCATTAAATTTTTGAAAATTTTGAAAATCCACGAAATTTTTTGTGAAAATCCGCGAATTATTTTTGTTTTGTTTTACGATGTACACAAAGAGAACATGTTCACAACCAATTTAGAAGATTGGCGCGAAGCGCCCTCTAAGGCTATTTTATATATATTTATATGGACATATTACATAATTTTACATTATATGCTGGCCAAGCGGCTGATTATATGCTGGCCAAGCGGCTGATCAAAAATTGGATGACATTTTTTGAGGGAAGCCAATACTCCGGGGCTAACAAAAAAGTTGAAATTTATTCCAATTCTTTTTCAAATATTTTTTCAAGAAAAAGTTTCAATTTTTTATTCGAGTGTTTCTAAAATTCCACGGGCAACGCCGGGCACTTCTGCTAGTATCTAAATAAATAGATATGGTCAAAACCACAATAAAAGATTACCTGACATATATAAAATGAAAAATGTTTATTAGTCATGTTTTTTTAGATCATTCTTTTGAGCATTCTTTTGATAAAGTTTTTTCTTGCGTGGCAGGATATTATCTTTAGTAAAAAATGTTGTTTTAAATAAGCCTGAAAAGACAAAAATGTAAAAGCTTTTTTGTCAGTTCATAATGAAAAATTTGAGTCTGGAATTGAAATAATATTAGCCTCCTAGTTGTATCATAAACAGATAGGAATAAAACTAACCACCACTTCTAAAAAGTCAGTCATAATAGCCTCGGATTTGTATCTTTTCTGAGATGGAATTTAAAGAATTTGAGCCGGGGTTTAAATCTGCCAAAACCCAGTTTAAATTAAGCGCCGGCTTAAATCTTGAAACATTTGATACAGTTTTAAGTGGAACCAACAATATTTAAGCCGCGGCTTAAATCTAAACCGCCGCTCAAATTCTTTAAATTCCGCCACTGAATTCTTAAATCCTACTTAATCTATATTCGATATCATAACTGGGTTCACTTTCGGTAAAATATTTCAAACATCAATTTAGATATTTTGCTTAATCGTATGGCCCAGGTGGATTGGTTGGCATAGCTTTCTATTGCACTGTGTATAATCAAAATATGGGCTCATAAGTCATTACATTTTTAAAATGTTCTACCGTGTATTCCGTGTTTGTTGACAGTCAGTCTTGTTTTATACATCTAATCTAATGTTTTATTAAAATAATAAAATCTGTCATATATAAGGGACAGAAAATCGAAAACAAATCTTCGATCTAACAGTTGCATGATGCTCTCATACAAAAATCGTTTTGAAATTTGCCTATTACTTTTTAAAACCTAAAGCTGAAAAAAGTTATTTAAATTTTAAGAATCTACATTTCTAGAGCTACAAAAAAGGTCAAATCAAATTCCAAGACGGGGTCTGTCCTAGTGAACGATTTTTGGACCCCCCGGGCCCTCCCTCATATCAATTTTGTACATGACCAAATTAATATTTATCTATTATTATTTAGGGTTAGGATAGTTTAAGACACTTTCTGGGCCGAGCGCTGCGGCTAGGACAGTCTAGGGGGCCGAGCGCTGCGGCCACAGGTTAGGTTAGTTAAGACACTTTCTGGGCCGAGCGCTGCGGCTAGGACAGGCTAGGGGGCCGAGCGCTGCGGCCACATAGTCAATTATATCCATGTCTAACATATAAGATCCATGTACAAAATTGATATGAGGGGGGGGGTCCGAAAATCGTTCTCTAAGAATATACCCCAAGACGTTTAAAATCCACCCAGTCTTAAAAATTGATGCACCTTTTAATAGCAGTGTAGAGACACCCCAATTTTTTTTCAAAATAAAATATTATTTACTTAAAATTTGAGCTACATTTCATGAAGTTTTAGGTTCCTGGTTCAAATAATTTAACGCTAATAATTTCAGATTTAAATTTTTAATTCAACAAATCTGAATCCCCATTTTACAGAAAAACCATAGCAGGAAATTATTAATCTAAAAATGTAACTTCATGCCGAATTTAAAGAATTTGAGCCGCGGCTTAAATTTGAGACTCGGCTCAAATATGTTTTGTTTCACTCAAAATTATATAGAATGTTTTAAGATTTAAGCCGGCGCTCAATTGAAACCGTTTTTTGCGGATTTGAGACGCGGCTCAAATTCATTAAACTCAGACTCAAGGATATCTTTATCAAATTTGATCGGATTTGATTAAACTATCTTCTTGGTACAGAGCTAATGGTTTAAGTGTTCATCCAAAAAAATCTAAGTTTATCATCTTTAAGCCTACAAATTTCCACCTGCCGGAAGAAATTAACATATTTTTCAACAACAATGATCCTGGTGAAACGGATTCCTCAAAAATTTCCAAAATCCAGCGAATCTCCGACACTTCTGAAGAAAAGTCTGTACGGGTTCTTGGGGTTCTTTTAGACGAAAAACTTAAACTACGCTCCCATGTTAACTCTATCTGTTCAAAAATCTCAAGGTCTATCTATTGTCTAAGCCAGGTTAAAAATTTACTTGATATGAGTTGTCTTAAGCTTATTTATTTTGCGCACATTCACTCCCATCTTAATTATTGCAGCAACATCTTTTCTCTTCTTTCTAAAAAGGATCTTATTAGAGTTCAGACCCTACAAAAAAAATCTGTACGTCTAGTCTGCAATAAGAGTTATAATTCTCACAATGCCCCACTTTTTTTAAAAACTGCCATAGTCCCTTTCCAAGATCTAATACAAGTAAATGCCCTTTGTTTTATGTACGAATATAGGTTAAATCGTCTGCCATATCATTTAATAACTCATGGAGCTTGAACAGGGATACAGACCCCCAATATATGCTAAGAAATGGCGAAGACTTTGCAATTCCACGATTAAAGTACCAGTATTTAAAATCACATCCTCTTTTTTATTTTCCGAATTTATGGAATAAATTTAAACCAGTGTTTAAAAATAGCATTGTTAAGAGCTCAACGTTTTCCAGTAATTTAAAATCTTATTTTCTACACAAACTTGATGAAAGCTATAGCATAGATTGTAACTGTTATTTATGCACTGTTTAGTTTGCTTGTACCCAGGGTCTAAGTACAATACCTTCTTATAATATATTGCTTTGTTGTCTATTCTCCAGGTCTACTTGGGCTCTCATGATCGGACCTACTCAGAACCCTAACAGAAATATTCACCTCTCCTTCATTTTTTTAACTTTCATCGTATCATACGCCGCATAAATCTAAAGTTTTCAGGGACCTGGACCAGACAGCCAGATATTGAGCTCTCCGGGTTTCCCGGCACTGTAATAATCATAGAATTCATCAATGTGTTTTTAACCCTTGTAAATGTATAATTATGTGCCTAATAAAATATTTATTTATTTATGTTAAAGGTTTCCATCCTGAATCTAGAAAACAGGGTCACTTAAAATTACGTCGCACAGTCCCTTTAAATTGGATTTATAGTCGACGATTTTTTTCTATCCAACTATTTGATAAAATACATGTCAGATATGTTCTATTTTCATGGACAATAGTTCCCAAGATTGGAGTATGTATGGTGAGAAAGGGCGCTCCCAAAATATTTTGATATTCATCAAATTAAAGGTTTAGCGTGGATTTGGTCGAGGGGATTTAGGTCTAAAAAGTTATTAAGGTTGCACGATATATGCAGGCGGACCGTGTCAAACCATCAATATATTTCAAACCTCGTTTGTTCCTCGTGTCAAAATAGTCATTTTTCCAATTCTGATAAAATCACGACCAAAGCCAACTGAGTGAAGTAGAACTGTATGGCAACAGCAAAATGCTTGAATTGCAAGAAACCAAAAATAGTGTTGTCTTAGAGGACAATTTAAGAAAAGAATGTTTTTTTTACTTTGAAAGTAAGTTTTACAAAAATATAGGTCTTAAATTTTGAATTTTATTAAACTTTTTTATTCCACTTTAAATTTAAAATTTTTCTTCAATTGATCTTATGTTGACTTTTTTTTGCATTGTTTTATTTTATTTGCATTTTACGCAAAAATTTTCAACAGTTTTTGACAGTGTCAATATTCTGGCAATGAATACAAAAGGGGTTGTCATTTATTTCTAAAATTAAACATCTTCAATCTAAAATAAAATTCAAGTAATAAACCCAATCTATTATAATGATGCATGAAAGAATAAAATTATTCCTTGTTAAGCATGTCTCCACCCCCACACCCAACACTCAACTGATTTTCAGTTCTAGTGAGCACCCTGAGCTCGATGAATCCCAATCTAACCGTGATTCCCCTTGCAGAACACCGATACAGGACTCCGTAGACTCTCATCTATTTAAAATCCTCAACTCTAAACCTATATAATCTCTAGGTTTTTCCAACTCATAGAATAGGTAAAAAATACGTTCAGAAAAAAATTCTTAATTGAATTTTTAAAAGTTAAAAGGACATTTTCTCCAGAGTCGATTCACTACTGCAAAGGGTCAGATTCAAAGTTTTAAGGATTTGAAGAATGTTACATAATTTAACAGAATACTAGCCACAGTTAATATTGTCTAAACCTGTTGGTGTAAAGCTTAAATATTTTAAGCAGAAATTCATAGTTTGAAAGTATTAATGTCCTTAAAACAATAAGTTTAAAAGATTTAAGGATTAGAAAATTAGAGTTTGTACTTTGCGGCGAAGGGTTCGGTTCCTTTGTTAAAAATGTTAAGATCATGTATTTAAAATCTTCATCTGTGTTTATGTTGTTTTGTTTAAAATTTACAAAAACTGATGTTTTATTATTACTCTCATGTTCTGCGTCTAGACCAGCATCGTTAGCCCACAGTTTTATCATTAACCAGGAAGATTAAGAGGACTGTTCTTGAAAATCAAATTAACTTTCTTAGAATTGTATGTGTTTTCAATCATAACTATTAAACTTTAAAGAGCTTTTGAGAAAAATAAAGCCAAGAGGTCACAAAGTCGTACAATTTATGTCGTCCCCCCCCCAGCGTATCCTGGTTTTCAAGTACCCCAGCGGGGATAGGGTTAACACCGTTCAGAAATTTAAACATTTAAACTCTTTGTAAGAAGAGTAAACAGTCCCTTGACCATCGTTCCTTCATGTATATAGACAGTATCAGTGTTTAAGCTGTGTAAAGTATATTTACCAAAAAACCCTCCAGCTTCTAATAATCTATATAATCATATTCAAATTCTATAAATCATCTTTATGATTTATTTCGCTGCACTTTCAAATGTGCGAATGTACTTGGAGAAGGGAAAGTAGTTAAACTAAATGGAAAAGAATTGGAATGTATTGAACTAGGCTTTTTTTCTCTCTCCAATGTTGATGCTCCGTACACCTTCCCTGGGGTCATGTAAGGACCCACACAAAAATTGGATACAACCGGACAGACAGACAGACAAGCAAAGTATATATATGTGCATAACACAGAATTGTGGGTGAAGGTAGTTTTATGTAAATCTATAAAACAGTAGTAATTTTTGTTTGCTTGTTTGGATGTACTATCAA